GACGGACCAAGATTCAAATTACCAATAGGGCATATGTGATAAATGATTTGGATTTCTTCTTTAATAACGGTTTGATACTGACATTCATACTGAATTCAGAAGGGCCATCTGTGCGAAAGAAACAAATATGTACTTAATATCTGTATTTTCATATACGTGTGTATCTACAATAAGGAAAGACACGTTCCCGAAAATTTGACTTCAATTCTTTTCGTTGCCTTTCCCCCACTTTATTAAAGATTCGAATAGACTCCATATAGATCTTTCTTATACCCCTAATAAAAACAAGTTTATTACTTTCGAATCTGAAAAAGAACTTTCATTCTTCTTCAATCAATAGACGCAAAATTCCAACCATAATTTATACACAGGAAACGTGTCTTTCAAAGTAAATGTTTAATAATGTCTATTTTCAAAACCAATTTACACCAAAGGCATAATCATTAAACCACGCAAAAAATGATTGTAAAAAAAATATGAACATTATAACATGCTCGTAACCACTAAATCCGGGTTGCCTTTGCTTGCGTCATCGTTATTGTAAATGTTAGACATCAGTACTTTATCTCTCACGTTTGCCACATTAAATGGTTTTCCAACTATCAATATTGTGTTACATATATATAGTACTCAATGAAATTTAACTCAAACCTGCTTTATATATTTTTTTTTCTAAGCAATAATTACATGTAATTTGGTCATAACATTTGTATAAAATAAAACAAGTTAATTAAAAGAAATAATCTTGATAAATAGGTTGTTTATATTGCTAAGAGATATTAAAAAGACATCTTTTTTTAGTTGGATAAAATTTCCACAAACTTGCAAAATTGAAAAAAAGTATATTCTATAAACATAGTTATGATTATCAACACAATGTCGTTCAAAACAATTCAGGACCGTGATAATTAAGTACATGTATATGTGAACCTCAGTTAAATACATGTATATCCCAAAATCTCTGTTTCCAGTTCTTGTGGTTGTTAAAATAACCCTGCATTTGAAGCAATAAATGTGAACGCAGGGATAATTGGGGATATTATCTTGGCCGTGAATTATCTTCATTTTCACTTCCAGAGAATGGCGTATTACCAATTCTGGTAACTTCTACATCCTGAACCGTATATCAAATCTAGATCAGGTAGCGATATACAGACGTATAAGCTTACTCCTAGAGTACTTGGTATACAGCAACATTTAATACTATGAAAAGGCATGATAATGACAAATGAGGAATTTGTAAGCAATGTTTCAAATAGCTATTAGTGTTGGATATCATAATCAAGTTTAAATATTAATTTTACTTCATAAACTGGGTTGGAATTCTGGAAAAATAATGATAATACAAGAAATATGCATTTTGGCCTTCAATGCTGGAAAGGTAAGAGCGGAATACCTATGGTACCCACGATTGACAGACACTGAAAAGTGTTGCTCTTGTAATTGTATTGTACAGGTTGCTTAGTACTAGTATCCCTTTTGCAACAGATTGAAAGAGACTTTTACATGTTGTAACTGGTCTTTTGGTATATGACAAGTGACCACACACACGCAAACACACATGCAGGAAAAAACAAGCAACCAAACAAAAACAGTATCAATAAGATTTAGAACAAAGAAAAAGTAGATGCTGACACAAGACAGAAATACCCGCACGTAAGTGTTTGCCTCTAAATGTACTCTAGCTCCCTTGTACCTTGGTAGCGAAGAAGCCACAAGAGTTATTATATGTATACATAAAATATGTATTCATGTATCAACTGAGCATAAAATACACAAGTGAGTTACAGTGTATGACTATGAGGTACTTATGATAGTATTTCAAATAATAAATTTATTACCATTCTGAATTAGAGATTGTGATGAAATAAATACTGATTTTCAAAGAGGGCGTTTCAGAAAAATGACTTAAATTGGAACTAAACAACATCATTTTTCAATCCCTATTTGGAACTCTGGGTGAAAATGAAAATTCAAAAACCTTCAAATCTTCAATCATCTTGCAAAAGATGAAAGGGCTACTACATAAAATGGAAGAGGAGTTCTGGGAACCAGGTGTTTTGTAAAATGAAAAACGTCATTTTTCGACCCCCATTTGACACCCAGGGTGAAAATGAAAATTGGGAAACCTTATTGCACATTTGCAGGACACCTCCAGTCAGTCATCTTACAAAAGATGAAGTAGCTACTGCGTAAAATGGTAGAGGAGTTCTGGGAACCAGGTTTTTTCTAAAATGAAAAACGTCTTTTTCCGACCCCCATTTGACCCCCAGGGTGAAAAAGAAAATTCCAAAAACTTATTGCATGGCACTCCCCATCATCCTGCAAAAAATGACATTTCTACTTTGTAAAATGTAAAAGTTCTGGGAACCAGGTGTTTGTGAAAAACCGTTTTTCGACCCCCATTTGACCCTACGTATACGGTGAAAATGAAAATTTTGAAACCTTATTGTGCATTTATAGGATAACCTCAATCACCTTGCAAAAGATGAAATGGCTACTACTTATAAAATGTAAAAGAGGTTTGGGGAATCAGGTTTTTGTAGGAAAAAAACGTCGTTTTTCAACTCCCACTTGGCCCCCAGGATGAAAATGAAAACTCTGAAACATTACTGCACATTTACAGGACACCATCAATCATATTCCAGAAGATGAATTTGTTACTGCTGAAATTGTTAGAGGAGAAAGTGTGTCAGACGGACGGATGGACCAGGATAACAACAATATACCCGAACTTTCTTTAGAACGTGCGGGTATAAAAAATTGCAAAAGATATTGAAATAATTACACTTTGATTAGTTGTGAATACATATATACCAAATTAACATATACTTTTGTACTTTGGAATGACTAATAGATGTTTCTTGAGTATATTTTACTGTATCGTGTTTATATCAAACAATGAAATACATGCTGAATACAGAATGAACAACTTTTAAAAAGACACGGGGAACTTATTGATGTCAGATAAAGATGAAATCTTGTTGTTTTATTACATAAAAAGTCTGAATATGTGCATGTAATGGTCATTTCTTAGGTTTCGCTTATTGAAGTAAATAGCAATGACACACCGTTTAACAGGACATCACTACAAATTTACTATAATTCAAACGGGATTTCACACTGTTAGATCTTATATCCATTTTTTGTCTGTTTTCATCAGATTTCGTAATAAATCAACGAAAGCACTGACAATTTACCTGGACATGCAGTCACAGCACGCAAATGGTCTATTTATTCCTCTGCATGGAACTGTCTTACATATTAATGTATTATGCAACCGTATTCTGATCTTATTAAAAGATAACTAAGATACCAATCCTTATAATTTAACATCATTCGCAAAATAATGAAGCTTGGTAATCGTGTAATTAGGGGGAAAAAAGATTTATATTTGTAATATATGTGTCTGCCTAAGTTGGATAATAATGAAAAAAATATTTTCTATTTGTAATATATGCGCCTGTCCTTCCTTCGTATGTAAGTTGTTTTAAAGCAATATTCACTCATTAAAGACAAAAATGTAAAGGCAAGGAAACAACAACAACAAAAAAAAAGAAGACTTCTTGCGTCAACAATGTCATTAAAGAAGTCTTTTGCACTGATTACTTATTCCGGACTTAACACTGTTTTCATCAACTTCTGTTCGGAGTCAGATGAGTGTTTGAAGCCTCCAGCAGTAAGAATAACAGAACTATACTAGGAAGAAACCAGATTGAGATTTCGCTGCCTTCACGTTATTTTCCCCCTTCCGCTAATTACAAGTCCCGGAGTGCTGAGACCAGAATTGATGGACGACGCAGCTTCTTTTTTTTTCTTCCCGATAGGTTTATTGTATTAGTACACGGCCGTGTTACTTTCATGGTCATATTTAGTGATTGGACATGGAGATCGAGTCCCCTATCGTTCAACACTTCTCCGTTTATTTCCACTCAATAAATTGTCTAGTATTTCAACCAGTAACCAATAAACGTTTTCTTTGCTGTGTTGTTGATTTTTTTTCTGCAAGGTCTTTTGCCACATAGATACATGCAGGAATTGCATAGTCTAGACACTATTTGAACAATGGCAAAGTTACTTATCTATTTACAAATTGCACCCAATGATTATAGTTAACACTTGAAACTGTTGTTTAATATTTTAGAAAATTATTAATTAATAGTGTACGAGACTTTTTTTCTGATTGCCTTGTACACATAGATTAATAACTCGAACTCGTTACTGGATTAATGATCGGTGCTGTTTCGGAGCAATATTTTTTTGATAGTCTCAAATCACCATTGAATCCGAAATCTTTCTCATCATCTAACAACTGATTCGTAATATTTTTTTCAACAATAAGTGATTTAATCTTTAACATTAGACGTTAGAGAAAAACATCTAGCACCAATACCCCAAAGTGCATTTGAAAATATGTAATTACGTAAAAAAAACTTCATGAGCGTTTGATGTCATGATGAAATTAAATAATAAATGAACCAATCAAACAATGTGCAAAAATTAAGCTTGATTAGCAAACTAGCAGGCGGTGTGAAGTTTTCAAAAATTTGATGTGTCAATCTATCTGGATATTACATAATGAAAGTTAAACAACTAGAGGCCAACTACGGGGCGGCTACAGCATTCATCATTTCATTCTGGGAAGTGACTCGATAATCAGCCACTAGAGACGAAATATGGTTCTCGTTACCGAACACAATAAAATATTTATCATTTTCCATACCTCCCCTGTGTGCTTTCCCTCATTGATTTAAAAATATATTTTGCGAAGCGTTATATATCTTGGGAATTGAACCAATTTTTACAGAATTACGCACGCTGCTTCGGTGTTGACATCTGCTTGTGCGGCAGTTCATAAATAAATAATCGACCGTGCACAAATACCACTGCCTAGTTATATAATTAAAGTATGGCTAGCGTTGATGGAATACCAAATATCTCGTTAAACCAATATTTAATGAAAAACTGCACAGATTAAGAATAATCCAAAGATCGTTTTAAGACTGATTTTTGTTGCTTAATTTTATATTGCAAGTGCAATTTGCTTTAGTCTTTAAGTCATGTCTACTTTTTTTTTTTAAAACTAAAAATTGGTCACCTCGTGGAATCTATGCTTTTTCTAAATATTTTTTTTTTAAAGTGGCATGCTGTAAGATCATAACTCTTTGAAACATCTGTTAGATAGCGAAGCGTTAAGATACAGAATTGTTGTTGCTCAAAAAAATCAATTCCAATGTAAACTGCATAAGGTAATTGGGGCATGGGGGATTCTTTCTATGCCAAAATGAGATTCGTTCGGATGCTGGAAAGAAGCAATGGATATTACTAACAGTCAATAGGCTTGATATAATTATTAATCGACAGCCCCTAAGCAAACCCCGAAGTGTCATTTAGACGTACAGTTTTTTTCAGCAGTAAATGAAATATCCGCTGTACAAATGCTTTATAGGTTTTTTCCCTCGGCGAGTAATTTTCGTGTATATGCCAGGAGACATATAGGTCTACAATCCATGTGCTGGTCATAAAAGAAGTTTTTGTCTGAATGAAGTATTTAGTCTCGTACAACGATATCTGCAATTTAAAGGGAACAGAACTGCTCTTTTTTCCCTGTTAACGGGGGGAATATCAACAATCTAGTATCCCACAAAAAAGTTAACAGTCCTTATCTATGGAAATTTTGTCGTGATAAAGAAGAAAGGTTTATAGTAAGAAAAATCGATTTTTAGATAAAACATTTACCTTCAGAGATGAAAACTCAAACGCCCCCTACTTTGATCAAGTTTCAAGATTGAGTATTGTGCGAAAATTTTAATTATTTCCTACCCGTCCGACAACACATAAGTTTTATTTTTTTTTCAATATCCAATATTATCAGAAAAAATATGTGATGGGTGTATTGAAAAAAGGTACTTGTATAAAGAATTCTGATTGCAGCCTCGAAAACAGAGACTGTCTCGATATCTACATGTACTTAAAGGGAAATTGCTGTAAAAATATTAAAAAGGCAAAGACAGTATCTTGCAGATTTATACATACATACGGTTTATTATGTAATAATGCAGCATTGACATAGTCTGGATTTTCCAATGAAGATATTCACCTCTTAAAATGTTTGCCCTTTGATAGAAATTTTTTGTCGAAATTGCATATACCAACGATAAGGAAATATTGCTTAACAATTACTCTCAAGGGAGAATGGAAGTAAACTTCCATTTACTTCAGATATTTTTTTGCCAGAGCAAGAAACCGAGGGACTAAAGTCTGAAAATTCAATCTGATCCTTAAAAGGCGTGCGTCCCGTTCGACTTTTTAATCGTGATGATTAACATTTAATTAAATTTATATAAATATGTTATACATAGATTATCAATGTTTGTTTTTAATGATCCGCGTTGTATTATTTGACTTTCTCTCAAAGCAAATATATTTTATTTGAACTAAGTGTAATTTATTTAGTTAAAATTTGCAGTCACTAAAAATTCCAATTGTCCGAATCTAAAATTAAAAATTATAAATGCAAACCAAGTTATTCAAGTCTATCTTAAAAGTAAATAAAGTAGCGAACGTCCTTAACAAACGTTACCATATGCCAGGTAAAATGACTGCAGCCCCTCCCCCTTGTTTACCTGTTTTTCCCTGGGTTGACCACAATAACGGGGGGTACCTCCGCTAAACTGCATTCTGTCGTTCCGTACTGTGTACTCATTATCACGTGTCCTCAGAGGCTAAATTCCCCCCATACTGCAAGGGCACATGCACCGAGTAATACTCCTGTCGTGTTTTAAAAGGTCCCAATCATGTTTTAATTTTTTTGACAAGTCTGACGAGGTGTCCTGAACGACATTGCAAGCCACTGATATAAGCACTGGTTTACACGACAAAATATTCAACCACAAATCGCATTGCAATTAATGAAATTGACAACGTTACTACCAACACTATGTACATATCCAACCATGCATTTGCCTTTCATTTTTTTTTTAAAAATCTTCTATTTGTTTTTTTTAAAAGATCGTTATCACAGGCATTTGTGTAATTGATTTTCAAGCTTTCACTTTATACTTCCTATATATACCGAAGTACCAGACTGATCGAACAAACATGTGCTTGCCTCGCTGTTTTATTTACATACACGGTTTTGCTGCGTACGCTAAATATAAATATCCAAAAAAAGTTAAATCGCCCACTCATAGGCAAAGTTAACAGGATAAATAAAAACACACACCGTATGTATTTGTATCAATACGTTTATGTGTTTCTTACCTATCGGAGTCCCTGGAATTTCGGCTCATCTCTTCGTGGTGTTAATCCTTTATTATCCTAGGACTGAACAAAGTAATTTTTCTCACATGAAGGCAATACACATCAAAAGTTACCTGCAAAATACAGGTAATATCGTCACGACCACTGAATGGTGGACATCCGGGTCACTGAAGCGTGACGTAATCTCCCTCTACCCCTATGTTATCAGTCAAAACACAACTCTGTCATCGGATCGGGTTATAGCCAGCTAATCTTTTAAAATGCTATCTAAAGAGAGATTTCAACATAAATAAAAAAGATTTATGATCTACAAACATAAAGTGTTTACGATAAATGCCGATTGTGAGCGGATTAAGTTAGTCGTTCCAAACGGTGCACTGAGAGCATTAAAGACACATTTCTGAATCAGACAGTAAAAATAAAATGCAAAGGAATTTTTTTGTTGCAGTTTTCATGACGACGCCTTGATATTATACACGTTTATTGATTCTGGATGCTGTCATAGCGATTTCCTGCTTAATGTCATGTCTTTCCATGTTTTATTGTTTCAGGCCAAATGATGCAGAAAGTCTTTATTAACACATATCTGCATATCTGATATTTTTCTCAGCCTTTTTAGGTCGAGAATTAGTCTTCGGTATCGGGTGGATATGTAACACTCATGAAATGATTATCATCAAAATCTATATCTCATAGTAAATACATAGAGGATATTCAATGTTTTGTAGATGAATATGGAATTTATTTCACGAGTGGGACAGGATTTTTTGATATTTTCACGAGTGCGAAGCACGAGTGAAAATATCAAAATATCCTGTCTCACGAGTGAAATAAATTCCATATTCATCTACAAAACATTGAATTTTCTGTTTATTACATTTTTTGATTTTCCCTACGCTCTGTCTTTTCTTAACACAGTGTCATATAGGCTTGACGTCATAGTTGAGCGGTTGAGACGTCACAGCTTATCAGTTCTGAGATTGAAAACTTTGCATAGCATGGCTTTTAGCAACATATTTGGGAAGAAATTTGCAGTTTTAGCTCTATCAAGATGCTTAGTTATTATCTCTGTCTTACGACAGGCCAAAAATTATTTTCTACTTACGTTGATATCCTTTCACACTGCGAGAGAATATCATTTTGGTATCTTTTCCCACTGTGAGAGAATATCACTTTTATTCAATAAATAAATCACAGTAATTCACTGTTGTAAATGTAATAAAGCGAATTACAAAACAGTGATAAAATGTCTATTACATGTAATTAGTTCAAACGTAATTGTATATTTATTTTTTTTAAAATGAAGATTAATATTCTTATGAAATATTTGAATGAACCTGTTATAAATTGTATAGAAAATATAATTTTACAGAGTATATGCATTCAAGAGCTCTCATTTAACATATGGTGCCGAGAGAAATCAAGTGGTAAGTTGATTGTTATCAGGGTAAGAATAATGTTTTGTGGCTATCTGTTCAATTCTTGGGATTTCTCTAAAAATGTTATGTTTGGAATCTTCATAGATTTCACAAATTTAAAGTGTTTTTCGTGAAATCAAGAATAAAGGCTTTTGCCATAATGTCATGTTCTAAATTTCGAATTTACTTGGTGAGACCAAATACAAAACTAAGAACATTGCCACATGCATTATTAATTTAGGTGTTTGCCTCTTAATGTACTACATATAGTTCTCTCCTTCGTACCTGGGTTATAGCGAGAAAGCCACCAAAGATATTCTATAATTTACATAATAATTTTATAATTTACATTAGTATACATTAGCATTCATGCATAAAATTGGCATTAAAGGCTTGGCTGAGCATGTTAGTATTTCATAAAATAAATTCATTAGAGTCAGAAATCAAATTCTGTTTAAAAAGAAGGCTTGTAGAGGAGGTGTTTGTCTTCATAAAAAATTCTGCAACCTATTTGTCTTCAAGGTGAAAATGTAAATGCCAAAACCTTGCTGCACATCTATAGGCCACAATCTTATTCCAAAAAAAAAAAAAATAAATAAATTGTTTACCAAGTAAAATGTAAGAGTTCTGAGGACATGGTTTTTGCAAAATACATCGTTCTTTGACCACCGATTGGCCACCAGGATAAAATTCAAAATAACGAAACCTTTATAAGCTCATCAACAGTGCACCAACAATCATACTCCAAAAGATGAATTGGCTACTGCTGAAGGATAGATAGACTAACAGATGGCCGGTCTAGGATAACAACAATTTAAACTTCCTTTAGAAAATGCAGGTATAAAAACAAATTTGTCGATAAAGGTGTGTCATTTTTTTTTTCTCTCCCCTTTTTTAAGGCAAATAGTTATACTGTCTACTGGTTGGCAAAAACCTGAGGATGTTTAAAATGATTTTTTCTCCTTCTTCTTCTTCAAAATCACTTTTTTTGGAAACAGCACAATCTTCATGTTTAGGTAAAATTATTAAAACCAAAAATTCTGAAAGTTTGGGTTATTGTTTTTATCCCGGTCCGTCCGTCTGACACAGAGTCATCTTTTTCAAACTCCTCTGACTTACATTTTAACCAAAAGTCAATTGATCTTTGGGAATAGGATTGATAGTACTCAGTAGATATATAATAAGGTTTCGGAATTTTCATTCTTGAGGCGAGTTGGGGGTGAAAAAAGTTTTCTCACAAACTGCTGGTTCCCTACGCTCCTTTCCTATTTTTGGAGTATGACTGGTGTTGTCATATACATGTGCAATGAGGATTTGGGATTTTCATTTTCATGGTAGGTAGGGTGGGATGTGACGTAATAGAGAAAACGTTTGTCTACGAAACCTGGTCCTATAAGAACTCTTCTTACATTTTGCGCAATATCCATATCATCTTTCGAATATGGTTAATGGTGTTCTGTAGATGTGCAGTAAGTTTGTTTAATTAAAATTTTAATCAGGGTGACCAAGGTGCCGAAAACGACGTTTCTCAATAAAAGCTGTTCCATGGGCTCTTATTACATTTTTAAATGCAGTAAGTAAATCATATCTTTAAAATATGATTTATGGTGTCCTGTAGGTGTTGTTTAGGCTTGGAATTTGATTATGCCCTCACTTTGAGTAATTTAAAAGCAGACAATCTACAACCTCCTATTTCTAAAGACAAGAACCTTTTTCCAAAACCCCCTTTTAAACAGAATTTATGCTTCATTTGAATCTCTCATTTCATACAGGTAATGAATTTATTATAGAAATACTTATTACAAGAACCCCAAGGGTTTACAAACTCACTTGAGGAGTTTATGCTAAATTTTATACATTTATATTCATGTAAATTAGGGAATAACTACTCATCGTTAGTGATGCAGGTACCATCCAGAAGGATAGTATAATTAACATTACTCGTTTGTCAGCATCTAGTTTTTTTGTATATGTACATGTGTAGGTGATTTGAGAATGACTGTCATATTTACGTAGAAAGAATCCAGATTCATTTTTTTTCAACTTTCGTCTGAATTATACTTTAAAAGAAACGGAAGAAGGGGAAAGGCAAATATTACTGTCAGTTCTCGTTATAAATCTCTTCGTTCAGGACCTGCAACATAACACCGATCTTCTTCATGTCTTTTGGTACATCCTTCCGTCTATATCTCTACATTTTGGTCCCCGTTTTGCTATACCTAATGCTTTTTTATCGTTCACTTTTCAGTGTTCTTCTCCTTCGATTTTCTCGGCGTTCTTCTTTCTTCTGCCTTAAATACCACTGCTACTGTGCTTATGCTGGAATCAAACCTCCCCAAACTTTCATTTTTGCTGTATTTGCTCTTTAATTTGGTGTATAAAGCTCAAAAATCTTTTTAGACTATCATGTTTTAATAAACAAATAAAATAAACATTTTGAAAAGAATGCATTGCAACCAAACTAGGACACAAACAAAAATTTTGATGAATATTATTTTGCAATCTTATGATAGCTTTTGCATTCACAATCGATGTTTTACATTTTAGTATTTAGTTACTCTCTTTTTACAAGAATAACATCTTTAATCTACTAGGTATGTTATGGATTTAGCGGTTGGTATGTTTTGACCAAATGTCTGCATTATTCGGATAGTTGCTACACTTATGTAGCCGAACACAGTTCTGATTTAAACCCAACTGAAAACATTTTGGGTCCAATACAGCTGACTCGTTCGTAAATTATGCTAAAAACCAAGTGGAAGAAACTTGAGCGGGAATGGTGCTCACGGGAAAAAATGTGAAAACTTTAATTAGTAGCCTGTCAATCCAATCAGAGTAACATCAATTTTTCAACCAAGACAGGCTACTGACAAATAATTTGATTTTAGAGGACTTTCAACAACGTTGTTTAAAGCATTTCACAAATTCTGTGGTCGATATAATTATTTTGTTTGCAAATAAAATCTATCGTTGGGTCGTATTTTATAGCAGACATGTTTCATACCAATTGTGAGACCATTATTTTTTACAGTAGTTTTGACAACAGAATATTCCGTTTACCTGATCAATACAGAGGACCAGGGCGGACGTGATCGGTCGACAGGGGATGCTTACTCCTCCTAAGCATCTGATCACACTTCTGGTGTTTCCAGGTATCCGTTTTTACGTCCTATTAAAGATTTGTATTCTTTACAGGAGTTATGAAATTGATCACTGTTCGTTATCTTCATCTTCTACATTCACCGTTCTCCTCTTTGTTTAGTACTGAAACATGTCTTTTCACTATAACTCTTTGACAATTGTAAATAAAACATTATCATTGAGACAGAGTGGAAAAAAGAACAAAATGTACATTGGTTCTCAAAAGCATGTTAGGTTTTTGAGCTGTATA